GCTGTGTTCAGCAAATATGCAATATTGTGAAAATCACAAGGGGCCCAGTTTTATTAGATATTAACAAAGTTTGTTACACTCAGATAAATCCCTGAAAACTGATACCTGGAAGACAGTATATATTATTTCACAGAATTTAGGGAAATTGAGCGAACATAAGAACTCAAAGAAGAAGCATTGAGAGAGAGAGAGAGAGAGTAAAATCAAAATACCTTTGATTTAAAATACATTATAATATCTCACAGCAGGGGGGGGGAAGGAAATGAGTGAGATCTACATTAACAAGCAGATGCAGTTAAATAATGGACACAAATTTAAGCCTGTCAAACACTGTAAGTTAAATTCACTGTTCCCTATACTGTATGTGTACTGTTTGATTGTAAATTGCTACCCATTCCCAATTGCAGCCTTTGCTTCTTTGACTGTGTTTTTAACATGTAACCCGTTCCAATCTTCAACCTTTTATGTTTCAAGTAAAAAAATCAACATACACTGTAGGACAATTAAACATGACTGAGCCTGAAACAAAAGGTTGAAAGCCATCTTCCATATTGTTATTTACTGTACATTTTCATAACTTCTTCAGTGCTACTGTACTTGTATAACAATACGATGCAATTTTTCAACTACAGTACTGACATGACCTTAATAAAAAAAAATGTAGTAATCTGGAAAATTTTGGATTTTTGAATGCTATATTTGTTGTTTTTTTTCATAACTATCCAAATGATTGTAGTGAGGAATTGTTTCCTGAAGATGATTAAATGTATTGCTCAGTTTCTTTCTCCCCAGAGATTTCTTCTTCTACTTACTGTAATTTGCATAAGCAAATTTATTAAAATCACCAAGTCTATTACATTTGATTTGTTCACATGAAAATATATATGTACTGGAAACAAAACACAGAGCAGATGTAAACTAGATCGGTGAAAGTAACCATCCTTTGAGCTGACCCGATCCGTCAGATCTCCCAAAAGATAATAAAATAAAATTTAAAAGTAGCAAGAGAAAAGTTTGTCAGATTTAGAGCATCTTTTAGAAATGAATACACCGACCTCAAGTTATGCTATAAAAGAAAGAGGCAGATGGCGACTACCTCATTTCAATCTGCACTTGAAACACAAGAATCAAAGGTGCTGTTCAAAGACTTTTAAAAGCTTCGGCGAACCTTAGACACTCTGAACTCCAAAAACTCAGTTAAACTCTTTGTTAAAATGAAAAAAACAACATGTTAATGTGATTATATGTACACTATATGTAAGAAAAAAATTAAATTGTGAATAAAATAATTACAGTATTTTTGCTTCAGGTCCCTTAAAGTTTTCATTACTGTATGATTCATAGCCCACACACTTGAGATAACAGCAGGGCTCCACAGACCACTGCTTTCAGTACAAACGGCTGCAGGTGTCAATCCATCCTGCAAGAGGCCAACTTATTATTTTATTACTGATGTGCATTCATTTGAAAAGGGTGTCTCAGTGTATCTAAATCATAATTTAAGCATTGGCAATTTCCACACAGCAGGAATGAGTAGATGCTATACCATGTCACTGAGGAATTGAACACTTTGAATACATTTTGTGGAATAAAATTCTGAAGGCCAAAAAAACAAATCATGATGGGATTTTTAATACAAGCAAACTAAGCACCCTTTATGAAAAGAAAATATAAGCCTAAATACATGCCATACTGTATATATTTATAACAAATGTCTTTTGCAGGCAGCACATGCATCTTGGTAGACTCTTTGTCTTTGTAGATTGTTTGGGGTCTTTTATGTTTTATGTTGTCTTTAGGTTCTATCTTTCCTTCTCATACTTCTTTTTTCTTAATTTTTCTATTGAACCATTTGTGCCAAATTGTCCTAGATGTTGACTTCTGTTTTAAGGACAATTTTGTTTGGAGAGTTTAACATTTACTCAAACCTGCATCTGCCCGAAAGCTCTGCCTCGTCCCTTCATAGTTGTCTTTCCAACATCATAAACTGTACAGTACCTGCAGACTCAAGTTTGGAGATTTCAAGCTCATACACAAAGTTTAATTATTATAAAACCCTATTATAATAATAATAATTGCATTTTAAACAGTACAGTACACTGTATATAATTATTTCTATATCTCATATTGTAATAAGTGTATTACAGTACTGTGTATCTATAATTACTGTATATTATGTCTGTACCTCTCATACTTTTGGTCTCCCCCTATCACTATCTTCCTTTAATTGGGGAGAGTTAGTTCCTGAGTGCCCTGATGCCCATCAGATCTCCCATTTACCTCCAGGCTTTCAGTGTCCAGCTCTATCACCAGTAAGTTCTAGAAGTGGCAGGGCACGCCAAGCTCTTGGGAGGCTGCCAGTATGCAACATGCCCACTCTTTCTTGCAGCAGCTGCCTACAGTCACCCAGTCTCTCTGGTCCCCTCCTGTCCCCAAGCCTGTACTAGACACCATCTCCCTATAGGACGCATCTACTCTCAACATTAGTTCCTGCAAAAAAAAGATTGCATTTTGTATTCCCATGTCCATCCATATCTCAATAGCAGACAAGATATTATTATATCTTGCACATAAAATTTAGATGACCCCTGTTATCCACTCTTTTTAGAATATATCCTATATATATACACAAATAGAATATATTCTATTCTTTAAAGAGTAAGAGCATTTCCTTCATTTATACCCAAGAGTATTGAATGGTTGAACTCAAAGATAGGGATCTTATTATTAATGTTGTTGTTTCAGACACTTTACTGGCTAATTGTCTGTTTTTCAGCTTATGACACTGGATTGAGTTCTGACTGAGAAATGCCATTATTTGTTTTTGTGTATCATGGTATTGTACTGTGGATAGTATTATTGTCATACTGTATACAGTATGTTATGAGCTCTTGATGTACAAGATACATTTCCTTGGAGGCAATAAAAATTAATTCAATTCAATTTTCTAACCTCTTCATCTCATTCAGGGTTACAGGGGTGCCTCAGCAAGCAGCAGCACAAGGCAGTGTACACATCACTGGGCATCAGGAGGGCAGGCAGACACAAACAGAGACACACACACACTCAAACCAGGGCCAATTAACAAAGAAGCCAATTAACCTACCAGTATGTCTTTGGACTGTGGGAAGAACACAGAGCTAACCCACGCAAACACAGGGAAAGCATAGACACTTTACACAGATAATGTAGCACCTTAGATCTGGCATTGAACCCAGGGCTCCAGTGCTCTGAGGCAGAAATGCTAACCACTGTGACACCATGCCACAGAATAAAACATCAATTAAGTTATTGGAAAGAAAAGAATGACATGGTTTGATCACCTCTAAACCTGTGATCTCTGCTGTTATCATGAATGTTTCAGTAAAGGGTATTCAGTTTTCCACGTGTATACACATGCAGACACCATTATTAACATGAGGTCTCTCGCAATGCTACCAATAGAACAAGTACCTCAGACCCTGTATTTCAGTGTTTCTGTGCCTAAAGCTGCCCTAGCACCAATTAAAATATAGCCAGGACTCACTGCACTTTAAAATCCTTTGGGAGCAAGGTTAAGAAAATAGCTCTCCGGGCAATAACAAAAAAATCCCTCAATTTCCACTCAATTTATGAGTTTTCACACCTACTAATCTGTTAAAATATATAAAAAAGTAAGGCAGGAATGTGAATAACCTGAGTCAGGCCAATTCTATCCCTCAGGCAAGCTCTGCTGTCCCTGCATTAGTTTATTGCAAAACCTCAAATTAGAGCAACTAAAACCACTCATTATACTGTATATACTCACCTATTTTGTTTCTTGGGTACAGCACTTCAAAACTCAAAATTAAAGTCATTTCTACCTACAGTAAATCTCCTTATGTTTTAGCTGATATTGATGTTCAAGGAAGAAAACTGTGTGCAATAAAATTCCTTATTCAAAAACCTGGAGAGATTATGATGCCACTGCTGTTACCTTTTTTTCTTTGAATCTGCACAATAAAAACTGTTATCTTCCTCTCACCAACTGCCCCTGCATACAGGATCAACAAGTTTTATGCACCCCATAAACAATCTTATACAGGTACTTACAGTATATTAAATAATACCTCACCCCACAGTAATTCAAGCTGAACTTGCAATTTCAGATGTGTAAAACAAATACTGCACTAGTACAATATATTTTTTTATTTTTATCATATTCTGTACTTAAAACAACAGATGAATTAGTAAAGTATTAGGGAAATACAAACAACAAAAATGATTAAATCTCCAGCTCAGCACACTAAATACAGCAGCAATTAAAAGCAGCAGCAGTCCAACTATTTTAAAAACAGATGTACTGCCTATTATTTTTTAAACTGTTCCTTTCAGGGTGTTATAAAGCCATCCGGTTTCCATAGGCACCAGCTTTCACACAGTGTAAATACACCCCATCGTGCACATCTAGCTTGGCTTTTTTACAAGAGGAATTCTTTAATAATAGATCTGATTCACTTCAGTCTCTTGAGTTATTACTGTTTGTATTGTGCATAATGGTTCCCTTAGCTAGACTAATGCTCTCAGCTGACACTTTCGATGACACATTCTCATGATTCAGTGTCATACATATTTTTTTAGAGCAAAGAATACAAAGCCTCACAAAAGCAACTGAGCAGCATCACAAAAATATGATACAACTTAATGGAAATTAATTTCCCTGAATTATTCACTTATTTTGCAATCACAGCTGTAATAGGTCCTCTACAAAGTTTCGGCCTTGGAGTTCTCTGAAGGGTAATTTAACATCTCTAATGCGATTTAATCCTGAGCATTCCAGGGATGAGGAGAACCTCCTAGGCTTCTTCATCTTCTTATTCTGAAGATACCATCCATGAAGGTCTTCTCATTCTTGGCTTTGTACAGTACTTCTCCTACCAGCATGGACTAACTATTATGCTGTCCTAGTTTTCATCCTTGTTTAAAACATAGTATATTGGACATTATTCGTGTGATATGTGTGGACATCTGAAACCCCATACCTGTTTCTGGGTCACACTGATGCTCACAGGGGTCTAGTAATCGTCGCCCACAAAGTTCTGTCACCCACGGTCCACTGGCATTCTGCTGGTAGAAGAGCAGAACCTGAGCTGGGTTCAGCCAGTCACTGGCATCCAGCTGACTCCCCTGAAGCAGAATAAACCTGCTCCCTGAAGGCACAGGAAAAAAAAAACAGCATGTTATTAAGAATGCAAACAGTAGCTGCTGCAGGGTGCCACTGCATATCGTAGAAGAAAAGTTTTGATTATAGAAGCACAAACACAATTCTAACTCAGAGGAACTCTTGCTAGAATCCCATAATTGTGTGATTAGAGAATCTGGCATTGATTGATTGATTTATTTACTGGATACCTTTTAACCTGGGATGATAGACCATATACTGCATATTTACTGAGCATCAAATGTAACATCACTCTACAAATGAATGTTTTTAGAAGAATAAAGTAAATGGATTTAGGATACTGATTAAACGTTTTTGACATCATTTTAATCAACTAATTATCCGTTATTGACCGTGATATACTTCACTGACTCCTGCATACACACTAAATCTAAATTACCTCCTTGTAGAAAGAGCTGATTAGAGTTGGGTGTTGAGGCAATTTTGCCTGCTGAATATCAAGCCCGGTGCAAATTAAGAAAGAAAAGCACAGAAAGGACCAATATACCCTGCCTTGCCTGTGAAGAGAATAATACCTAAGAATATTGGAGACTGGGTTAAGTCACATCAACGTTTCAAAAATCCTCTTTAGTGATGATTAAGAGTGCAAACATGCAAAATGATTCACTGAATCCGTACAACAGAACACTCTTTGGGGAGGTCCAAATGAAATGTTCTGGGTAGAACTGCCTAATTATTGTAGTACTCCACTTGATTCCTTACACTTATATTGTGCCTTTCTGGACACTCCACTCAAAGTGCTTTACAGGCAGGGGCGATTGCCCTCTACCGCCATCAATGTGTTGCCCCCACCTGGATGATGTAATGGTAGCCAAAGTATGGCAGTACGCTCACCACATACCAGCTGTCAGTGGGGAGGAAAACAGAGTAATTAAGCTAAATAATATACGGGGATTATTGGGAGGCAATGATTGGTAAGGGCCCAAGGGAAATCTGACCTGGACAATGTGGTTAACGAACCCTCTCTTTTTGAAAAATGCCCTGTGATTTTTAATGATCAGGAATTGTTGGGACCTCAGTTTTACATTTCATCCAAAGGATGGTGACTTTTTATACAGTATAGTGTTCCCATCACACCTGCTCAGCTTCAGTGGGTTGCCAGTTGGGACCTGAGTGATTGATGGCAACCTGACTGTGCAGCACTACTTTGAACAAGTCCTGGAACTTCGAGGCTTTTCCTGCGCATGCATCTTGACATTCCATTAGGACAATAGAATATATCGCATGTGGTCGTGTAACTGGCTTTCTTGCAATTGAAAATGCGGGATCCGATGTGGAAACCCTGTTTGCCAAATATGAGCCAGATAGAAACTCTATGGAATGATCTGGAATGACATGTTGCATCTAGGCCTTAGACACCAGTGAACAGGCACATGCTTGTCCAGGATCTGAGAGAAATGGGACAGAGTCTTACAAGGCAGCATCTGCATCTCAAATGTAAAGCTTGTATTACATCAAACAGCAACCACAAGCCTCCAGCTTGTGACTTTCACAGTAGACCCCCTGTTGATCAGTCCTGTTGGTGACAAATGTTAATCAGCATAATGAATTTACCTGTCATGTTTGTTCAATACAATTTCAGCACACCTGCTACAAAAATGAATGTTATTTTCCTGATAACAGTGAATTTGTTGTAGTTGTGATGTTTTTATGCTCAGTAAATACACTTCTGTAGAGAGATATACAGTATACATTTTACTTATTCTTATTTAGTTAATTCTGACTTTTTCTTCAACAAAATACAAGGAACACCCACAGCCATTATTGCACATTCTTGTTGTAAATTGTGCTCTGCATACCAAAACAATTAAATCAAAAGCAATCCAAAAGAACGATGCCATGATGCCTATTAGCCATTCTGTGCATTCACTCATAACAAAATAAATGTGCCCAGATTAGATTAATCAGGAGTGCAGAAAAACGATGAATGAACGAGTCGAATATCCATACAATACAAAAAAAAATGAGTATCTTTAAATAGTTTTAATCTAAAATCTTAACTCTTAAAATGATTCTAGACTCTTTTCATGTTCGGTGAACAGCTGTGCATTAGCGTTAAGAGATCACTGATGTAGTAAGGTGTTGCCTATTATCTCTAGAGGTGGAAGGGCACAGACCATGCCTATAGTAGCTCTCCATTTGAGTGATACTCACCATCTGCGATCAGGTGCTCAGGCACGTGGAGAATGACACGGACATTGAGGGGACAGGAGAGGTGAGAGGAATAGACCAAGCCAATCACACAGCTGACGACACTGATCAGAGTGAGGGTGGTTTTATTGATGGGGCTTCGAGGAGAACCTGTCAGATACAGAATGAAAAGGAGCTGTGGCCACACTCTTTTTCTTCATCTCACAGGGGCTGTAAAGCCACAAACAAGGTGCCTCAGGGGTTACTGCCTGTGGTAGGGCTTCTGAATCGAAATGTGGCCACAGGGAATGCTGGATGCAGGATCCGCCTCTCATTGCAAGACACAGATAAGGGCTTACTTTTGAACGTTGCCATTAGATGTGCTGAGAAAGTGTAATATCCGCATTTCAAGTTCCATCTCTGCTTTGCTCTATCCCTGCCCCATCCCCTCAACACACACACTCTCTTTTTTCACTTTCTCCAACTGGTACAGTATTGACTTACAAACGTTTTGACATTTGATGTGAATGTGGAGATATTTCCTTGGAACAGAGGTGACTGAACTGCCTTGCAACTCCCCTTTGTAGAAAAAGTTTATAGGGCCAGATTTCAATAGTATCCCAGTGTATCCTCAGCCATCATCTGTGGCAACGACAGATTAAAAAAAACTAATTTGGAATCTCACCTGGTTTAACATATTGCAAAGCCTTCAAAATATTGTATAACTAAGAACATAAGTAGTGCTACAAGCAACAGGTTATTCAATGCATTTAAATTGTTTTGTAGCTAACAGATAATTGATCCAAGCACATCATATGACCATTTTTTTATAACAAAGTCAGGTTTGAACAGCATGGCTGGGTATCGTTCATTCTCCCTCAAAACTCTGGGTAATCCAGTTATCTGTTTTAAATGCAGTTCCACACAGTTTCCACTTGCGTCCCCTGGTTCATGTTTTACAGGTTCCTCTGTATTGATCGTGTCAAAGCCTCTGAGCACTTACAATACTCGTATCAGGTCCCCTCCTAATTTTTTCTGTTCAGGACTAAAAAGGGTTTGTTCCTTTTTCCTTTCAGTGTAGGAAATCCCCTTAAGCTTCAGAATGTATGGTTGCTTTTCTCTGGACTGGATCCAGAGCAACAATATATTTTCTTTAACATGCTGATTTAAACTTGCACAATATTTTAAATGAGGCATTACTAGTGTGTTATACAATTTTAACAAAATATTTAAATTCTAATTTATATTCTTTTGACTTTATGCCCCAACATTTTATGTGCTTTTTGAATTGCTTCCCAACATTATCTAGAAGATGTAACTAATGGTCAACATATACACTTTTAAGAATTACAGTAGCTTCTTCTGTCTCTCTGTTTTCCATTTTGTTTCTAGAGTTGTTTTTACTACCTGCACACAAGACTCTGCACCTGTCTACATTAAACATTATCTGCTGCACCTGATGTTTACCTAAACTTAAATTTTACCTAAATCATTCTGAATTTAATTTCTTTTTTCTAGAGTGTTTGCTAATCATCTTATTTTGGTATCACCTTGAATACTTTTACTAACTATACTTTAACTGTACTGTAGACCAGTGATTTAAATTAAGAAGAGTCAAGTCCTATTACTAATTCCTGTGGAACTCCACTAATTGATCCCCCAAATTTGGGTATTCACCTCTTAGCTGTACTGTTTTCTATTTACCAGTTTATGCTCAATCCAAATATTTGAAACATGTTTCCCTGAATGACTACCACCTGTTATTTGAGAATTAATCTTCTATGAAGAACATTAACAAAAGTCTTCTGAAAATTGAAATATTCCACAAACATACTGTACAGTATGCTCTTGTGTATCCATTACTGTAATCGTTGCTGATTGTTAAAATAATTCTAGACAGTATATACAATATATACAAGACGTTCCTCCTAGTGTTATAACCTTCTCTTTCAGGATCTTGATTTTGTCCCAGTTATTAGAGATGTAGTTTGGCTATTGGAGTTCCTCCAGGATGTTTCACATGTCGCATAAGCTACAGATCACTGGTTTAAACACCTTTTTTGAATTAATAATGTATAGTATACTTTGCTGATGTACAGCTATACTTTTTTTCTACAGCTTCTTAAACCCCAGCAATATTTCTGCCTACAATCAATGCTTTTTCAGCTCCATCTGCAACACTCATGTACAAACTTGTCAATCAGTTAACAGAAGGTAAATTAAGTTTAAAAGTTTTTTCAAACCTTTTTTCATCAGTTATGTGGTGAAATACATACTTTACACTATTTACATTAACTCAGATTACTAGAAAATCTAACACTGGAAAGCTATTGTAGACTTCTGATTATGATTCAATGCCAAAATAATTCTGTACATTTTGTAACATTAAATACTACAGAATCAAGTTACGGTCATTAGGGTCTCATAGTTTTATTCCAACAGAATACAGATATTCATCTGTACAAAAACAGAACAAAACTGTTGCACTAGATTGTTGTACTATCAAAACTATAATCTCAAAATGAAAAATGCGTATGATACAAGATCAATTTATAAGAAAAAGAGAATCAGAAATTGGATTATTTTAAAAATAAGCAACTCCATATGAAATAATATGTGATCCATCTTCAACTTCAATACATCCTGTATGAACGAAATACAGTAAATGGCAACAGGTGATTAATTCCTACAGTCTGTCCCTATAAATAAGCTTTTATCAGCCATAATATGTTTTCTTCTCACCAAATGTACAGTTCATGGTACTATGAGTTGTAATTTTTAGTTTTTTTTTTCTAATTAAAGGTGTTAGTTATATTGTTGGCATAAGCGCCCTCTAACATTTGTGCGCTAAAATATTTTTGGTAATTGGATTAGTGATAGTTACAGCACACATCACTGATTTGAACTGAGTTGCTCTGCCTCTGCTAGTGACAAGTCTCCAGGGTCTTTTTTAGGGCCTCTAGGGTCTGTTCATACTTCTAACTAAATGGCAAAAAAGAAAGGGCTAGATATATTCTCTGAGGTCAACTCTCCAGCCTTTTACATACTGTATTAAAGTTTCTCTCGACAAGAAAGGATTTTATAGTGTTACTGTCAAGTGCCAAAAAAAAAAAGTTTATCATGTATGAACGCAAGTATAACCATTTTTTTCTCTTCAGAACATTAATTAAGTCTGTAAACTGTTCAGCCCAGATGGGGAAAAAAGACCAAACAAATCCTGCAAATAAAAGAACTGACAAGATGTAAGCAAAACTTCAGGAAAAAAAATGATTTGAGGAAATCTTTAGTAATAATGAGAAAAATGCAAGAAGAACGAAAGAAAAAATAAACAGTACTAGAACTTCAATTAAACTCATTATTTAAAATATCCTCTCAGAGAA